CCCCCCCCCCATTCGAGTGTGGTTTCATTTCCTGTTTAAGTGAAAGTTCTTTTGTACAGGTTTTTGGTATACTATTTAGGGATTTGAATATGTGCTATGTACACGGAAACAAGCATATTCAAAGCACCCTCAATTTATCTACTTGGAATTTCCTGGTCTGTGGAAAAAGAAGCTGTAAGTGTGAATACAATATATTCTCTATAATAACATTCAGAAAATACTGTACCTACTTTCCACAATCCCCTCTTCACTGCTACTCTCTCTCCTCATTTCATGTTTATTGGGACGAAGGGGCTGCAGCAATGCAAATACACAGACCACAACAGGTCACCTACTTATACAGAGTGTTATCATGTACAATAGCGGATGAGCAGACTACTGTGAAAAACATCTATTTATTTTTTACTTTTTGAGAAAAAAATAGAAACTATATGATAATGTCAATTTGTCAGTTGGTCGACCGTTTTGGTCTGGACTTTGAAACACTAATGAATTTCTGTGAAATTTGGTGTTCACTGTGCCTAGAGGATGACTCCTAACGCCTTTGATCATCCTCTTACTTTTCCCCTGTCACCACCAGCAGGTCAAAGTCTTCCTTTATCTAATGAAATAGATGTATTTGTATTTGTCGACAACAACCCTATAACATCTAATCAGCAGAGGTGCTGGCATGGCTGTAGTCTCTGACCAATAGACTCTAGGTAACCTCACAAAATACTAGCCATTAATGGAAATGTACCAACTGAACACTGCCTCCATTTTATGGCATTTACATGCCTGTTTGTAGAATAATTTTCTGAACTTCTAGATTATTTAAATTTACAATAAATTATTTAAAATTAAAATAAATTATTTAAATTTAGCTTGGGCTCAAACTGAAGCTATAGACAAAAAGAGCCACACCCTGGACCATGTTTTATTTCCCTCTTTGTTTGTGACCATAAAGACAGCTGTGAGGCAATAGTCACTCGCACATATTTTTAAAATTCACCCTGAGGGAAATTCTTCCGAGCCCCACCCTCAGCTCATTACACTTATTGCATAAAAATTTTAGATAATAATGAACTTGTCGTTAAGCAGATGGAAGGCTTCAGAACGGAGGCTTACAAAACTTTCCACTGGAAAGGATGTCATGGGAAATGCTAACTTGTAACTGTTTTTCTGATTTTATAGCCAAAAGTAATCAAGACTCCATATATCATATTATAATATTATCAGCCAAACCACAAACCCTCCCCTACTTTCTACTGAGCCCTCAGTCAATAAATCAAACTTTCTCAGACCTTTGCTGTAAAACACTCTCAGCATTTAAGTCAATCAATACTCAATGTCATTTCTAAAAATAATTCTTCCTCCGTCCATAGCCACTTATTATTCTCCATTTATATGTTCTAGGTCAAATATTTGTGTAAAATCAGTGTCTTTTTTTTTTTTTTTAAGAATATATTTATTGCGTTTATTGCAAG